CGGGACGGCGAACCGCGGCCAGTGGGGGCACAATCGGCCGAACCTGCCGCGTCAGCAGGTAAATAAAACTGGCCCGGCCCGCCAGGGGGCTTACCTGGCGAGCCGCGTGCCGAACGTTGCCGACCCCTGGTATATATTTTTATTTTTTCCACAAAATATAAAAACTAAAGTGTCTCTGTAAAAATGCAAATTTTGCATTTTTCCATTGCAAACAGATTTCTAGCATCCCTGGTTATGAGGAGTATCTTATTTACCTTCTCTGTACCAGTCATTATTTTATATATTTGTCATGTCTCCTCATATTCATCTTTCACTAAACCAAACTGTCCCAATCTTATCACACTAGCTCCAGATAGAATTTTTTCCAGGTCCCGTATAATATTCATCCTCCATCTTTGAATCTTCGCTAAGATTTCTCTGGTTCTGCTCTATTTGATTCAAAACAGAGTGGCCAAAAGCAAATACAGTATTCCAGGCACTGTCCCCTTCAAGGTGCCAAGCGCTCTGGCCCCAATCCAGCACTCAACTTATGCTTAGCTTTAACCACTTACTTCAGTGGGACTCCTCACACATGTACAGGTAAGCAGGTGCTTGAGGGCTTTGCTGCATTGGGTGCTCAACACGTTACTGGCCTGAGCTCCAGGTGAGGATGTCCCATTGATTTATAGAATGGTGTAATATTTCACTATTTCCAGTCCCATTCATTAAAGCATTCTAACATTCTGTTTGTTTGCTTTTTTGACTGCTACTGTATATTGAACAGCAGACTTCCTTGCACTGTCCATATTGATGCCCGTCTCCTTTTGTGATTGTAATTGTGTGGGAATTTAAAACCAAGTAATATATATTAAGAGTTCAAAATATTCCTCCAAATGTACATTACGTTGCATTTTTCTCCTTTGATTTTGATTTACCTTTGTGTGGCCCATTCACCTTGCTTTGTTAGGTCCCTGTGAAGTTCTTCAGTCTTCTTAGTCTTGACTAACCTAAGTAATTGTGCGTCGTCTGCAAAATTTGCCACCTCATAGCTTACCTGTTTTCCCAGATAACATGAATACAGTAAACAACCACCAGTCTCCTAGTATGGAACTTTGTGGCACCCTGCTGAAAATAGACCCCACTATCCATGGAATGCATATTATAAAGGCAAAGCCTATCCCTTCTATGCTGAAATTCCAGTATTTCATTGTAAAGAAATTGACAAATATTCTCTCGCTCTGGTAGTCTCTTCCCAGAAGAGGCCTTGTGTTCTTTTAGGTTGGAGGCTGAACTCCCACACAGAGTAATATGCTCTATTCACTGTCTATAGCCACAGCACATCGAGGGACATGGCTCCCACCATCCCTATGCCACAAATTCGGAAAGATAGCTGTATAAATGAATTAACAGGTGTGGTACAGCTGTTGTGCTGCTTCAGTATGATCCTAGTGCTTGAAAGTTCTGCAAACATTTTTCATGTAAACAGATTTGTATGCAAAATGATTGTTTCCCTGGCAGGATTCCCATTACACCACAGTGCAGAGCAAAGGTGGCCCAGGCAAAAGTGCTGCATACACAGGATTGAGGGCTCACCTGGACTAGCTTTTGGACTATCCAAAGCTTTAGCATTACTCAGGAACATGGTTAAAGTCCCACCTAAACTACAAAATGGAGCTGTGTTATAATCAGGTTTCCAGATGTGCTATTATATGTGGTATAGAGCAACCTCTGGAGAGAGTAGAAATCTTCTTAGACATAGTCTATCCACCTCCATACAAGCAATGGAGACTAGTGACATCTGAATGTGAACAGGCAAAAATGATAGCGTAAAAGTGCCACTTGGAGCTAGTTTACAGCAACTGGTAAAGATCACATAGTGTTAGGTGCCAAATAGGGCTGGCAAAGCTCCCCCTTCCTACCTGAAGGGCCCCCCCCCGCATATGAAACACATTGAGGTGACACTGGAGAGGCCAAACCCAACGCTTTCAGTCACAGGGAGTTGTCAGTGTGTAGGCTGGCTTCTGTCCAAATATTCAGCAGGTTGAACCAGCTCTCTTGGGAAAACAGCCGGGTGTTGAAATCTGAGGGGCCCAGCAGTCTCATTCCAGTGAGTTTCCTTGTTTGCATATCCTGGTTGAGAACAGGAACCTCTCTTCTTTATATGGGAGGTAAATGTATGTACTTATGAAGGCTTGATGACCCACCTCCTGTTGGTAACAGCCAGCTTTTTCCTGGAACAATGCCAGGTTGTGAGCATAAATTCCTCCTCTCACTTCCAAACCACTTTCCACATTTGGGAAATCTCTTTCACTGGTTGGAAGCCCGTGGGAGTCCTGGTTTCACTGTTTGAAACAGCCCAATTATATCTCCCATTTGGATGCTCTCTCCTGCATCTCTTAACCAGAATCTTGCTCTGTTGAGAGACCAACAGTGAGAGCAAAGGGGGAAAAAAGGCCAAGTATTAGGAAATAGCAAAGGAGATTTTGCCTCAAACTAGCACATGCAACTTGCAAAACAATAGTTCAGAGATGAGAGATCTTAAAAACTCAGTGTCAGCAATGTCTTCCTCACCACCACCCCCCGACTGGATTTCATTGTACTGAAAACTCACTATAAGGGTTACGGACAACAGAGATAGTGGTCTGTGTGCTCAGGGAGGTACAAAACTACTGTGCATCTTTTGTGATGGCTTCATTCCAGTCACTTTGTTAGCTTTTAGCTGCACCAGGTCTTTGTGACATTGCTTGTGTGAATAGTCAGGCAGAGCTGGAGCCCTGCCTATACTAATTAAACAAACTGTGCGTCCTGCCAGTGCTTAGGAAGAGAGAGGAAACATGCAAGTTATTCAGACTGGAGCCCCTGTTGGGTGAGGAGTGCCTGCTAGAGATGGGCACTTTGCAAAAGTTTCGATTTTTATCGGAGTTCGGGGAAGAGGAAATCCAGAAACTCTGGCTTTAAAGATGTTAAGCCCTGCCCTGTGTTGGTCAATTTTATCCCCTCTTGCCATTGCTTTGGCAGGTGGCTTGGTGTTTAACTAGCATTCACCTCTTTTCTCCCAAGAATTAAATAGTTCAGAGACACTACGGACATAAGTTAGTTACTAACTTTTTATTAAAAATTAACAGACTTAATAGTCAGTAAAATAATTTTCTGTTGTAAGTATTAAAAGAGGGGATGTCAAACACAATGAATAAAGGAAGACAGCAGTGTTGAGACAGTACAGATTATAAATGTACTGGGTATATTTTTTTTAGAAAAGTTACATCATTTTTTTTAATCCATTAATTCCATTTGGCTTGAACACTTCAGTAGTTAATTGAAGGCAGGCAGTAAGTCTTTTCATTCTTTTATTTTGGTCAGCCACATTTCTATAGATATTTGTTTAAAATACCACTTAAAAAGTCATTAAAATTATTTATTGGCTGTCGTCAGAAGTATTCTAAACAGGTGTTTGTTTAATTTCAGGAAATCAGGACCTTATCCTACCGTTACAGTAATTGACATTTGGGGGATAAATCCCTGAAACAACACTTGCATCATTTTTTAAACATCAGTCTAATAATATATACATTTGCTAACCTAATATGGCACTGTGAGCAGTTGTCTGTCACACACATCCTGGAGATGAATGCATGGTTGTGCAGATGAGTCAATGGGAGGACTATTTTTGAGGGTCCCCTTACTTTTCACCCATCCCCTAAAAATATTAATGGCTTTATTTTCACAAACTAAAAACTGTTCCAACACAACACATACTAATACACTTGTAAAAAAGTCCACATTAAATAAGATTAATGGTATGTTGCGGGTAATAGTAAATCATGGCCCCCTTGAACTGCTTTTGGTTCTTATCAATTGTTTAGTCTACTTATGCCTAGGGGACACGGCTGGGTCCCAGAGAAGTGGAGAAGGGAAAGCATGTTACCTAGCCTTAAAAATGAGGAAAAAGAGGACCTCAGAAGTTATAGACCGGTGAGCCTAATTTCAATGTCTGGAGAGATACTGGAACAAATTGTTAAGCAATCATTTTGTAAGCCCCTAGAGGATGATAGGGGTTATAAAGAATAGCCAGGGAACTAGGGAAATGTGGTCTAGATGAGATTACTATGTGATGAGTGTGACGTTTTGGGGATGGTAAATGTGTGTCCTTACCGCAAGGGTGCCCCATTGTGCCCATATGTGACACATTGCAGGGGACTTGGCCTCTCTCTGGGGCTGGGGCCATGCCACCCAGCGCTGGGGTTAGGGGCTCACCTGGGGCTGGGGGCACACGGGTTGGGCCCAGGCGGGGGAGGGGTTGTGGGGGAGGGTGCTCTGGGCTCCTGCAGGGGAGGGGGAGTAGAAGAGGATGGTGAGGGGTGGGGCCTCAGGCAGAAAGGGAAGAGCCAGGGGTTAGCCTCCCGCAACGGCTCATTCACCGGCCGCCTATACATTTAGCCCAGTATCCTATCTTCCGACAGTGGCCAGTGCCAGGTGCCCCAGAGGGAATGAACAGAACAGGTCATCATCAAGTGATCCATCCCCTGTCGTCCATTCCCAGCACAAACAGAGGCTAGGGACACCATTCCTGCCTATCCTGGCTAATAGCCATTAATAAACCTATCCTCCATGAACGGATCTAGTTCTTTTTTGAACACTGTTATAGTTGTGGGCTTCACAACATCCTCTGGCAAAGAGTTCCACAGACTGACTGTGTGTTGTGTGAAAAAATACTTCACTTTTGTTTATTTTAAACATGCTCCCTATTAACTTCATTTGGTGACCCCTAGTTCTTGTGTTATGAGAAGAAGTAAATAACACTTCCTTATTTACTTACTCCACACCAGTCATGATTTTATAGACCTCGATCATATCCCCCCCTTAGTCATCTCTTTTCCAAGCTGAAAAGTCCCAGTCTTATTAATCTCTCCTCATACAGAAGCCATTCCATACCCCTAATAATTTTTGTTGCCCTTTTTGGAACCTTTTCCAATATATCTTTTTTGAGATGGGGCAACCACATCTGCATGCAGTATTCAAGACATGGGCCTACCATGGATTTATATAGAGGCAATATCATATTTTCTGTCTTATTATCTGTCCCTTTCTTAACGATTCCCAACATTCTATTAGCTTTTTTTGACTGCTGCTGCACATTGAGTGGATGTTTTCAGAGAACTATCCACAACGACTCCAAGATCTCTTTCTTGAGTGGTCACAGCCAATTTAGACCCCATCATTTTATATGTATAGTTGGGATTAAGTTTTCAAATGGGCATTACTTTGCATTGATCAACATTGAATTTCATCTGCCAGTTTGTTGCCCAGTCACCCAGTTTTGAGAGATCCTTTTGAGGCTCTTCGCAGTCTGCCTGGGACTTACATATCTTGAGTGATTTTGTGTCATCTGCAAATTTTGCCACCTCACTGTTTGCCCCTTTTTCCAGATCATTTATGAATATGTTGAATAGCACTAAAGATGGAGATTCCACCACCTCCCTAGGTAAAGCATTCCAGTGCTTCAGCACCCTCCTAGTTTTTCCTAATATCCAACCTAGACCTCCCCCACTGCAACTTGAGACCATTGCTCCTTGTTCTGTCATCTGCCACCACTGAGAACAGCTGAGCTCCATCCTCTTTGGAATGCCCCTTCAGGTAGTTGAAAGCAGCTATCAAACCCTCCCCCCCCCTTCTCTTCTGCAGACGAAATAAGACCAGTTCCCTCAGCGTCTCCTCATAAATCATGTGCCACAGCCCCCTAATCATTTTTGTTGCCCTCCGCTGGACTCTTTCCAATTTGTCCACATCCCTTCTGTAGTGGGGAGCCCAAAACTGGAAGTAATACTCCAGATGTGTCCTCACAAGTGCCGAATAGAGGGGAGTAATCACTTCCCTCAATCTGCTAGTAATGCTGCTACTAATGCAGCCCAATAAGCCGTTAGCCTTCTTGGCAACAAGGGCACACTGTTGACTCATATCCAGCTTCTTGTCCATTGTAATTCCCAGGTCCTTATCTGCAGAACTGCCAGTCTGTCCCCAGCCTGTAGCAGTGCATGGGATTCTTCCATCCTAAGTGTAGGATTCTGCACTTGTTCTTGTTGAACCTCATCAGATTTCTTTTCTACCCTCCAGTGTATCTATCTCTCCCCCCATCTTAGTGTCATCTGCGAACTTGCTGAGGGTGCAATCCATCCCTCATCCAGATCATTAATGAAGATGTTGGACAAAACCGGCCCCAGGACCAACCCCTGGGGCACTTCGCTTGATACCGGCTGCCAACTCGACATCGAGCCGTTGATCACTACCCATTGAGCCCGATGATCTAGCCAGCTTTCTATCCACCTTATAGTCCATTCATGCAGCCCGTACTTCAACTTGCTGGCAAGAATACTGTGGGAGACCGTATCAAAAGCTTTGTTAAAGTCAAGATATATTATGTCCACCATTTTCCCCATCTCCACAGAGCCAGTTATCTCATCATAGAAGGTAATCAGGTTGGTCAGGCATGACTTGGCCTTGGTGAATCCATGTTGACTGTTCTTCATCGCCTTGTGTATCCCTTGGGGGAGGGATAGCTCAGTGGTTTGAGCATTGGCCTGCTAAACCCAGTGTTGTGAATTCAATCCTTGAGGGGCCATGTAGGGATCTGGGGCAAAAATCTGTCTGGGGATTGGTCCTGCTTTGAGCAGGGGGTTGGACTAGATGACCTCCTGAGGTCCCGTCCAACCCTGATATTCTATGATTCTGTAGTCAAATAAACCTGTGCAAAGTGGTTGTGAAATCCTTCCAAAATACAATTGTAGCACTTGGCACAGATTTAAATGACTGCACACGGTACAGGGCAGGGAGGCCCTGAAACTATATTTCCAAAATCATTCACAAACTGTTTTTCTTACACAAATAGCTTGTGAACAATTCATCCTGAATATTCAGTATTCAGTGTTTGTTAGTTAGTCTAGTTTTGGCTTTAAGAAGGGCCAGGTGAGAGGGACAGGGCATAGTTTGGGATATTGTGGGGTAATTATTGTTTGTATTTGAAGACAGGTAAGAATGAGACCATGTCTACACTACCACTTATGTTGGCAAAACTTATGTCAGTCAGAGGTGTGAAAAACCTCCCCCCCGAGCGACATAAGTTTTGCCGGCATAAGCAGTACCCCAGTGTGCACAGAACTATGTCGGAGGGAGGTGATTTAACCATGTCGACAGGAGAGCTCTCTACCACCACAATAGAGCAGCTACATGAGAGATCTTACAGCAGTGCATCTGCATCGGTACAGCTATGCCATTGTAAGCTGTCTAGTGTAGACATAGCCTAATGTATTTATTTATGATTTGTGGTTTTATGTAATGGCAAGGCACATTAAGCCAACTTGGAGGATGCTTTGTGTTATGTCTAAATCTAAATTAGTTGTTTTTAACAGTGACTGATCAATGCAGTATGAATTTCAAAATTAGAACGTTACAACTGACTATAGAACTGAAAAATTGCTTTTAGCAAATACTGAAGGATACTTGTCATAATACTTGGTTTCAGTGAGTATTTGCACTACTACAGCTTGAATGCTTGAAAATGAAAATGAAAGGCTCATGGGAAGAGATAATTGTTTTAATCCAAATGAATATTTGTGGAATTTTTTCCCACTATTTGTTCAGTTCTAGTTTTTATTGTGAAATGTGGAACATTAATGCACAGAAATACTGCAGAGTTTTTGAAGAGGTATGAGGACATCTAGTGGTTGATGTCCCTAAGTACATGCTGAGATGATCTCCCTGTGGGATGTCACTCTCCAGAAAGTGCAACATGCAGAAAATAACAGTATTTGAGTTTTTAAAGCAAATATAGCTGCAGATGCCAAAAGCTAAAATTGTTCATGCTGTTTCAAAATCTGAAACTCATTAAGCATTCATTGATTCTCAGAATGGGTTTCTCGATCAGCACTAAGTGACATGGCCCCATTCCCATTGTGAAACATGTCTGAAAAGATGAAGGCTACGTTTTACACCTAGTACATTGGTGATAAAAAAAAATGGGTGTGTGCATGGGCCTGAATCTATTGAGAAAAGGATATTTTCTCCCAATACGGGTTATTAGGAGGAGGAATAACATTTTCTTTTGCCTTTGGAATAGCTAGGCCTTGAGCACCCGTGCCCCAGAATGCACTGTTCCTACAGACTATGTGAGATTTGAATTTGTAGCTATCAGGGCTGTTGGTTCCCTTCTAATGTCTGAAAAGGGGAGAGGGAAGGGTAGACTCTTCTCTCTCTACTCAACTTTGAGGTGGTATCAGAGGAGACCACTGCGCAGGTTTGGCAGATTTTCTGTGCAGCTCCTTGGTATTTTCAAATTTTCTGTGATCTGAATGGAGCACAAATTTGATTTGAATGTATGCTATAAAGATAAACTCACAGGCACATGCCTCTAGTGACAGACCCATGATCCTCCCTCAGCTATCAAATCCTTACAGTCATCTGTCTATGTCTGCTCAGGAACTCCTACAACCCAAACCAGCATAGCATCTAGTAACTGTAGGGAGTGGACACTTTTGGATACATTACCTGATTTTTCAAATTTGAAAATAACAGCAGTATGAAGTCTCAGAATGACCTCCAAATCAGCATGTATAACAGGGCAGAGGGGTGGCAGTGTTATGTACAACGCTCATACACTCTCCTTTCTCCTGCACCTCAGCTTAAGTCTTTGCTGAAGCACAGTGTTTTCCCTTTTCAGATTTTTCAGAAAGTATGACACAGAATTACCCTCTGGGCTATGTACATAAAATGCTGATACGATACGTAGGTGTTAGTACTTCCCAGTCAACTTCAAAGAGAGACTAAAATACAGTTTCTTAGTAAAACAAATATGTAATGCACAGAAAACATATATTTTAAATACTGTGAACAACTTTTAAACAAAAGTTTCTAAGAAATAAATCTACTGGTCTTCCTTCTACTGACTTTGCCCACATTGTTTCTGTTACATATATTTAACTATAAGGCTCCAACCTAACACTTACAGCCCTACATTCCTATGATTCTCTGTGGATTACAAGTACAATCTTCATTGTGTGGCACAAGAGCACTACATCCCAATATCAGACAAGGAAGTCACTGAATTCTCTCTGTGGTAATGAAGAAGCAAAGGTAAGATCTTCAACACCACTCCCCCCAGCGCCCCCCATCACAAGCTCCTTTATGCTGGGTAAAAGTGCTGGGGTGGTGTACACGGGCACAAAAAGCCCTGTAACTGGCTGGGGGAGGATTCCTCTAGCTCAGTCCTGGTAGACAACACTGTAAAGCTTTCTTCTGGGAATCCCGCACAAGCCCTAGGAGGTGGGGTGCAGCTATAGGCTTGTCAGGAATGGGGCCAGAGCACACAGTGCTTCAGAGATTCAGGCAGTGCTATGGCCCATAGTGGAAACTGCTGGCCTTGTTGAAACTTAGGACATCCTCAGCTTCCCCTTGGGGTGATATAAATAGAACATGTGACAGTGTGTATTTTATTCCACCACTCGGTACTATGGTGACCCTATCACTTGAGGGTGTATGCGGTGCAGCACACTGCACGTATTCCCATGCCTTGTCCATAATGTGAACCTCATCTCTGTAGGCACTGCTGCTACTTGACTCATTTGGACTCAAATAAATGTCCATAAAAGCTTTGGGACAGGGAACCATCTTTTCTTTCATGTCCGTACAGTGCCCAACACAATCACAGCACAGATCTTGATCTGCATGTCCGTGTGCCACTGCAATACCGATAATAACAACAACAACAACAACCAGAAATAAACACAACACAGGCAGGTCACCCAGTTTTCTCTTGGACTAAGGCACTTCCACAACATGCAGCAGTAATGCTATTAGAAAGACTATAGATAGAACAATAACAGGAGTGTGGCAGTACAAAAAAGGCTTTAGCTCACCTAGGTGAATGGTGATCCCTGCTGTTCCTCACCAGGAAGGAGATGCAAAGAGACACCAGGACTGAATGGAAATCTATGGTTTAAGGTGGGACACAGTATTTTAATGGCATATTCCAGCCTTGCAAAATTAAAGTTGCTCACTCACCTAGGAAAGTATTTCCTTTTTCAACATGAGCTCAGTAATCCCCAAGCTGTGGAATGGCTTCCCCCTTCTCTGTATATTTTTTCTGGAGTTTGCATGACCATTTCTGAATTTATTGAGGCCCCCTGTTCAGCCGGGTGTGCAGTCCTGTGGCATGCCCTCTTCCCCCTAGAAATGTCATGCGATGGGGTGGGGGTATAAACACCACACTAGTTAACCAGGGTTAACCGGTGCCTGAGCCCATTTAGGCCACTGTGTGGCACCTGGAGGGGTGTTAGGCATAATTGGTGATCAAACCCAACTGGCTCTTCATGAAAGAAGGAGCACAAGGCAGTGGAAAAGGGGTTAGAGAAGAAACCTGTGTGAGAAAGGTTTGGTATCAGACCTAGTGGGTCCTCAGATAGAAAGAAGTCTGGGAGGCTAGGGGCTGCAAAGTCTAGGCATGTTTTCTTGAGTTGTGGGAAGCTAGAGGCAATGAAGCCAAAGAGGCAGTGACAGTAAAGCTTAAGGGGTGCTTGGATTGAAGTTTGGAGGGGTAGGCTCCTGTGGCAGCCCCTGAGGAGGGAGTTTCCAGGGAGGAAGCTCTGTGAGGCCAAACTCTGAAATAAAAGCAGGAAGGAATTTTGCAGGCATGAGGCTGAGCCCCAGTAGGAAACCCTGAGGAAGGCGGCTGTGGGCCTTTAAGATTTCTTTGAATGGTTGACATTGAAGATCCTGGCTGAGGATCTGTGGGTCCTAATAACCGCTAGCCAGAGAAGCTGAAGACACTGGAACTTTAGGCATTGTTTTATGTAGACTTGAGAGTGGAGTACCCTGAAAGGTGTGTGGAACTAACACATGACCTGGCTGGACGCTGGAGGACTGAGTCATGAGAAGAAGTGGCCCACCACAGAACTAGCACAACTGTTGGCAAGGGGAGTTGGAGACAAAGGTGCTGCTACACCGTACCTAACCAGGAGGGCATGCATCTGCAGTAAGTCCAGTCTTCTACACATCACTAATCAAACACTGGTGGTAACTATAGAACACCTATGCATCCGAAGAAGTGGGCTATAGTCCACGAAAGCTTATGCTCTAATAAATTTGTTAGTCTCTAAGGTGCCACAAGTCCTCCTGTTCTTCTTTTTATAGAACATCTGAAATTCAGGGGTTAAAATGCAGTTGCTGACACACTGAGCTCCATCACTGTTAGTGGCTGCACTTATAATCTATCTTAATGTGGGCTTCATTTGTCAAGTGATAAGGCGGTTTAGCCATCCCAATAATAAACCAACAAAATAATCACAGTCCCTTCAGCAGTGTTTCTCTGTTTTAAATTAGAGAAGCTAGTCTCCAAGTCTTGCCAAGAAAACAAAGAGCTTCTGGGGGTAGGTGCTGACCATGAACCTTGCTATGCTTAACCTGGTTTCCCCATGGAAGAGACTTCTAGGATGCTGTATGTAGCGATTACACTATAGGTCCCACTTCATTTAAAGTGAAGACTGGAGACCTCAGTATGAAGGACTGGGTTGCTCAGAAAAGTTAGTGGAACACAGAGACTTTAATCACTCACCTGTTGGTCTGAGTCCAGGCCAGGCTGGTGGTGGTGAAAAGCCGTCCCACATGATGGCCTTTTGCTGCTCCTGACTGTATGTGACCTGAATTTCCAGGCTGGAAGGATTACTTCTTAGTGGTCAGATGTCCACACCATTGTTGGTACAAATTGGTCCTTCTTGCTGTCATACAGAGATTAAAGGACAAGGGCTGTGGGCTACAGAGACTGAAACCCCCTTTTAGACACTATTACTGCATTGAATTACCTATTTTGGGGGGCAAGAGTGGTTGTCTCATATTTTTTGGTACCTTGGCATCTTCAGCTGCTGTCTTTCCCGCTGAGAATTGAGCTAGGAAGTAGAATTGTCAGAATTGGTGGGCTAATGACATAGAAGTAACACTGATAACTCACTTTCACACACATAATTATCTTTTCCCTAGGAAACTACAGCAGTTTGGCTTGTTTTTACTAGAGGATTAAACCTAGACTGTAAACTTTCTCTCTAGAGAATTGAAAGTACTTGAGTTTTCACCCTCCATGTCTCCCATTGTTCACTGTTGTTCAGACCTACTCTTGTCTGTTACAGAGTAGGTGATTAATTGCATTCATTTCTTCTTCACAGAAGCCCATGTTCATCACTACTCCTAAATTTCACAGAAAGCTCAGTGGAAACAGCAGCACTGAAGCATTTGTCTGTCTAGCAGCAAGAGGGTTAACTCAATGATTCTTAGGACTCTTCTTATGCACCAGAACACAAGAGGGGATGCTATTAGATACATGAAAGTGTAGATTCACTCAATGATCTACTTTTGGGATTTTATTTTCTATGGGTTTCCAGTGTGATTATTCCCTGTGGGGCAGGAAATGTGCTTACTAGAGAGGAACCACTGCCTGTTTGTCTAACTGGGGGTGCTGGAAAAAAGGATGTTGCAGAACTTCTCTCAAGTGTACTGTAATTCTGGTCAACACCTTAAAATGGACCCCAAGGGCCCAGATAATTGTGTCTTTTGATAGTGTGATGAATGTTCAAATACCTCCTAAAATTGAGAGCCTGACAATAGATCTTACGGGATTTTTCACAGGAGACTGGGTGTTAGCCTAATCAACCTGCTGAAATTCCAGTTTGGGGAACTGCATTTTGCCAACCTAAATTCCCTCTTCCAAATTAAATTGTGCTACGCAGTGCTGATGTTGGCAGTTAAATTACGATGTTCCCACTCAAGGGTGGCTACATTTCACTAGTGGGGATAAGGATTCCTATGTACACACACTGTGCAGTATGAGTAAAGTTTGTAATGTTCTTTTGGGTCCACATCTATGGAATAACTTTTATTAAAAAATTGGCTATTAAAGGGAGATATGATAGTGTATAAAATCATGAATGGTGTGGAGAAAATGCAAAAGGAAGTGTTGTTTACTCCTTTATGCAAGAACTGGAAATCACCTGATGAAACATTAGGCAGCAGGCTTAAAACTAACATAAGGAAGTGCTTCATCATACAACACACAATCAACATGTCGAACTTGTTGCCAGGGAATGTTGTGGAGGCCAAAAGTATAACTGGGTTCAAAATAATATTACATAAGTTCAGGGAAGGTAGGCCCATCAATAGCTATTGGCCAAGATGGTCATGGACACAACAACATGCTTCGAATGTCCCTAACTCTGAGTGCCAGGGACTGGATGGATTACTCAATAATTGTCTTGTTCTGTTCATTCCCTCAAAGCATCTGGCACTGGCTGCTGTTGGAAGACCGGATGCTGGGCTAGATGGACCATTAGTCTGACCCAGTGCATCTATTCTTATGTTCTTATCAAGATTGGTAGCTAATCCTCTGTCCTTGCAATACCACCAGGAAGCGCCAGGGGCGGATTAATGATTTTGCTGCCCCTAGACCCTGAAATAATTGCCGCCCCGCCTGCCCCTGGCCCCGCCCTGACTCCACCCTTTCCACACCCCCATTCCAATCCCTTCCCCAAAGTCTCCGCCCCCTCCCTGCCCCTATTGAATCCCTTACCCAAATCCCCCCTGGCCCCGCCTCTTCCCCCAGCGTGCCGTGTTCCCCCTCCTCCCCCATCTCTCCCTGCCCCGCGAAACAGCTGTTCCGTGGCGCAAGCTCTGGGAGGGAGGGGAGAGAGACAGGACGCGGCAGCACGCTCGCGGAGGAGGCGGAGGCGAGCTGGAGTCGGGGGGGCAGGGAGGGGAGGGGAGCTTCTCCATGGGTGCTCAAATTTGCTGCCCTAGGTCTAGGGGATAATACGCTGCTGGAAAGAGATTATTTCTAAAACCATAGACCATATACATGCCTAAACAAAGACTGAGACACTCTCCTATTTGGAAGGCTTACTTCAGAATGGTAGAGGCTAGAAATGTAGCTTAATATTAAAAAGTGAAGGTTCTTCAGAAGCTGATAGAATCAGCCTCTAGACTCACCAGGAGAAGTTCACCTCACCAGTGGCAAGTGGGACTTTTCAAGGCCTGCTTGAATAGCTGATTAAGTTCTCAATCTTGTCACTTCCAAGGCCCTTGATCACTTTGTTGCCAGTTTCTGAATTCCTCTGCTGCTTCAGGACTAAGATAGCAACATAATGGGGAGCTCATGTCTTAATGCCAGGTGATAAAAGGAGAAACAATCTCAACACCACTTATGCCATACAACCTATGAGTGCACTTGAACCTTTGTGAGCAGCATATACAAATCTACTGCTGACCAGCAGGGGGAGCTGGTTACCATATTCTGAAGTACCAAACCTATTTGCAGTCAGTAGCTCTGGTCTAACTGATGCTCACTGGGCTAGCTAATGGTTTGGCAACATGTCATGTTATAGCCCAGAATAATAACTGCTTTTCCTTGTTATCTGAGCACCCCTCGTACCAGATTTTCTTCTTTCTGCAAAGAGATGAACTAGCCTTGCAAGGTTTGACTGCGTAGATAGTTAACCACAAGCAAACGGAAATTCCAGACTCCCTTGAATCTAGAAGAATTTTTATCCTGGTTCACAGTAAAGTTTGGCAACAACTTTCCTTATTTCCTTTGTCATAGTCAATTTTAGGGTGACATTTTGCAAAAGTCTATTACGTTTAAATTAAAACTGCAATCAGTGTGAAAGTCTTACTCCTCCTCTGGAGTCTTGATAAAATGCTCTAATTATTGTAAAATTGAGAATTTAAAATAGCATCATGTCAGTATAAGAATCGTAGATTGTCAAGAAGTGCAGAAAGGGTTGTGTGTTCTTTTAACAAGTTTTTTTGTTAGCACATTTTTACTCAAATGATTTCTACACCTTTAGAAATAGGCTTGTTTGCCACAATATCCACTACTAGACTTCATCTTTATGTGGTATACATTTTCATACTTCCATGTACTGGAGAAATATAGGGTAATGCATATAGTCTGTAAATATAAGGGCAACTTTCTGGAAAGGCTAAAAAAAAATTGAACTGCATTTACATTAGAAGTCTTGAGTTTTTGTGCTTGGAATAACAAAATGACCTGAAGAAGAGCTCCATGTAAGCTAGAAAGTTTGTCTTTTTTCACCAACAGAATTTGGTCCAGCAAAAGCTATTACTTCAGCCACCTTGTCTCTCTCATATCCTGGGACCAATATGGTTATACTACATTGCAAGCAAATTATTTAGTTTTTAAAAATGGTAACTACACATTTCCATAGTCCTCAGTGTGGAATGTGATTTGCTAATTTTGAAAATAGAGGGGTAACAGACAATAGAAGAGATTGAAGATGTCTTACTGAATCTGTGCAGTACAACTTTGTTCAAGATAATAACACACTATTCCAGGCAAGTGCAGCTGATGCATATATTTACCTGGAAGTACATTTTGTTGTTGTTGACAGCATCCTGAATAGAAGTGGTGTTTCATATAGCATCCATTTTAGATCAGAGTTTTAATTCATTTTATTTATATATTAGGCAAATAATATCTACATTCCTACCTGAGTACAACTTTGCCCCAGCTACTGAAGTACCGACTACAAAACTCTTATCTTAACTTCCTGTGTTCTAACATAAATGTACCAATGACACGCCAAATGCTGGTATCAGTGTACCAACATGTCTATAGCAAATAAGCCAGGAACAGGGACACCTATCCAAATAAAATAAATATATGGAGATATACCTATCTCACAGAACTGGAAGGGACCCTGAAAGGTCATTGAGTCTGGCCCCCTGCCTTCACTAGCAGGACCAAATACTGATTTTGCCCTAGATCCCTAAGTGGCCCCCTCAAGGACTGAACTCATAACCCTAGGTTTAGCAGGCCAATGCTCAAACCACTGAGCTGTCCCCCCAAACAATGGAGATGCTGGGGATTGAACCCAGGGCCTCATACATGCAAAGCATGCGCTCTACCACTGAGCTACATCCCCTTCCTTCCACATAACAATCCTGTATCAAACAATCTATATTTACTGCTATAATCTAGAATAGCCCTTTGAAATGCAAAGAAAGTTAAGTAATGTTAGATACTTAAACATAATCATAACATAACCCCAACTATACATATAAAATGATGGGGCTCTAAATTAGCTGTTACCACTCAAAAAAGAGATCTTGGAGTCATTGTGGATAGTTCTCTGGAAACATCCACTCAATGTGCAATCAAAAAAGCTAACAGAATGTTCGGAATCATTAAGAAAGGGATCGATAATAAGACAGAAAATATCATATTGCCTCTATATAAATCCATGGTAAGCCCACATCTTGAATACTGCCTGCGGATGTGGTTGCCCCATCTCAAAAAAGATATATTGGAATTAGAAAAGGTTCACAAAAGGGCAACAAAAATGATTAGGAGTATGGAACAGCTTCCTTATGAGGAGAGATTCATAAGACTGGGACTTTTCAGCTTGGAAAAGAGACGACTAAGGGGGGGGGGGGGGCTGGAATATGATTGAAGTCTATAAAATCATGACTGGTGTGGAGAAAGTAAATAAGGAAGTGTTATCTACTTCTCATAACACAAGAACTAAGGGTCACCAAATGAAATTAATAGGCAGCAGGTTTAAAACAAAAAAAAGTGAAATATTTTTTCACACAACCGACAGTCAGACTGTGGAAGTCTTTGCCAGAGGATTTTGTGGAAGCCAAGACTATAACAGGGTTAAAAAAAGAACTAGATAAATTCATGGAGGATAGGTCCATCAATGGCTATTAGCCAGGATGGGCAGGGATGGTGTCCCTAGCCTCTGTTTGCCAGAAGTTGGGAATGGGCAACAGGGGATGGATCACTTGATGATTACCTATCTGTTCATTCCCTCTGGGGCACCTGGAATTGGCCACTGTCAGAAGACAGAATACTGGGCTAGATGGACCTTTGGTCTGACCCTGTATGGCCGTTCTTAAGTTCTTAAGTAAAGGCATATGTAGTGCCTTTTTCTTTGAGGTCTGATCATATGGCCTGATCGCTGATCAATCTTGAGTTCTCCAAAACAATGCAATTGTTATAATGGATAATTCAGTGATATGCACTTTTGCCTTGCTCTTCTCTTTGCTCTGTCTTTAAAAGGAAATTT